CATTCTATATTTTCCTTTTGGGGTGAACCAAGCCTCATTATTAATCACAAATGCAAGTCCAAATGATATCATATTTCTACGTGGAACTCTTCTAACTTTTTATTTTCATTTTGTCTATATAACATGATAATTCTGCTAAAGGCAGAGATTTCCCTGGTTTAGTTTCCCATTCCATCATCAGAGTCGGTTATCAGAATACTTAAAGAAGAGAAGGTTATACAAATTACAAACACCAGGCGTAACTGGGGAAGGGATGTCCACCAAAAGAGCAGTGGTCATTGGCTTTCGGCTGGAACTTTGTCAAACAGCACTCTTGCCAAGAACCACGGAACTCTTGGAGCCAGCAACTAACACTGGAAAATCTAAAACTACTTTTAGAAGTGGAATTTTTTACAAGAGATTATGAGTTGCCTTCTACATAGCTTCTGCATAGCAAAAGATATTGTTTAAACTATGATATAGGGGCTGGAGAGATGGCTCAGTGGTTAAGAGCACTGACTGCTCTTGCAGAGGACTCGGGTTTGATTCTCAGCACCCAAATGGTGGCTATGAACTGTCCTTAACTCCAGTTCCAGGGGAATCTGAAGCCCTCTTCTGTCGTCCGTGGCCTTGCACAACATGGGTGCCTTCACATACATGCAGGCAATACACTCATACACATAAAATAAAAATAATAAAATATTTTTTTAAAAAGTATGATATAAAAGTATTATGTATAGTTTTAGTACGTTTTATGATCTTTTAAATCTTTTAATAACTGCCAAATTCCCAAGGGAATTCCTTAATTTTTCAAGTACTCTGATCTCATCCATACGTAGCTCTTTTCACTGAGGTTTTAAGACTTTTCCCTGTTTCCTCTCCCCATACATCTTTGTTTAAAGTATCACTTCATTTTATTTTATTTTTTCTATTAAGGGACTAGTTTAATATTATCTTCCCCATTTTTAAGAAAACTCCAAATGGAAGGGCTTCAGATGGTGGATGGCCTTCATCCTGTCACATACTTCATTTTGCGTTTTAGTACATATGGCTGGAGAAGGGTCTTAGGATACTTATATAATTATGTTTAGTACAGTTTGTTTTCATTCATGGCACTTGTAACTGTCTGAGTATCAGTTCTGCAATAAACTCATTAATGAATATGAGGCTTCTTTGAGCAATCTGCTATTAGTAGACACGTGGTCATTGCTATAGGAACTACTCTAAAATTTTATTCTCAAGATATATGCAGAACATAATGAAATAGTTTTGTTCTTATAGTTTTTGGTCTTGCTGTAGAGCCCCGGTTAGTCTAGTGCTTGCTATGTAACCCAAGTGGCTTTGAACTTTTGGAAATTCCCCTACCTCAGCCTCTCAAGTACTAGGGATTAACAGATGTGAACCAACCACATGTAGCTATGATCTTTTTTAAAAACTGAGACAGATACCAATGTTTATTATTATTGTTCGAGAAGTACATGTTAGCTTGATAAAATTCAGTTATACAACTTGAAATTATGTAGCAGGAAAATCCAAATGGATTCTAGGTGGCACATGCATCTATGTCTCAGTTATTTGGGAGCCTGAGGCAATAGGATCACAAATTCAAGGCCAGTCTGGGCAACTTAGTGAAATCTTGTCAGCAAATTTGACAAAAGGAATTGGGGGTGGGAGAGGAGTAGACTGGTGATTGGAAGCCTAGAGTTCAACACTAGCACTGTAGAAAAAGGTGGGGAGAGGCATTATTGCTTTTATATAAGACTAAAAAGTAAATCACTGCTTAGTTCTTTTAAATAATTGACCACTCTGAGCATGAAGTTTTATTGACTATCTAAAAACAAAAAGATTTTGTTGTTTTAACGTGTCGGTACCATAAAGCAAAAATGAAATACTAAGTAATTAATGATAATCCTAGGCAATGCCTTTTCATGATAAATTGGACTTTTTAACCAGAGACTTGTATTCACAGACAAGCCATATTGCTATATATACAATTGTTTAATTTTGCAGTATTTCAATGTTTGATATTATATGCACACAAGGGTCAAATAATGCCTGTGATTTGAGATCGTATTTATTAAATTTCTTAGTCATTTCTTCAGAGCTTACTTTTCAGTAGCTTTCAAAAACATTAAAAAGTCATTACACTTCTATTTATAAAGTAACATTGCCATATTACACTGTCCCTTGTGCAGTTTGTCTACCTGTGAAGCCTCTACATTGACATTTACATTGCTATTTCATCAATCTTATAAAGAGATAGTTTTTCCTGTCATTGGGTTGATGAAGAGATTTATTCCACACAGAGTAAACAGATAGGCAGCACACAGGTAGGAAGTAACAAAGCTAAGAATAGAGTATAGATGTGTTTTCAGAGTTCATTCCTTCCCATAGGACTGCATGATCTCTATTTTACTTTTAGAATGTCTGCTCTATAATGTTGATATTAACAACGTGAGTGACTTAAGTATTGTTGCATATAGGAAATGAATCAAACATGGATAAGGCAAAGAAGTCAGTGACAAATAGTGACATTGTTTCTATTTCAAAAAAAATCACTATGTTGGAAATGAAGGAATTAAATGAGAGACAGCGGGCAGAACACTGTCAGAAAATGTATGAACACCTACGGACTTCACTAAAGCAAATGGAAGAACGGAATTTTGAATTAGAAACCAAATTCTCTGAGGTTTGACATAATTTCTACCTTGTAACTAGTTTAAGAACTAGTAGACATTGTATTACTGCTAAGAACTCTGTCTCTCTAAAGTAGCATATCCACACCGCTTTTGCATTTTATGTAATGGGTAAGTAGATTATTTAAAATCTGAATTGTTTAAAATGAAAACTCTTTTCTAAATGAATTCTTCTCGCCAATGTCACACCATTATTTTTTACATGCAGAAAGATGTATTTGCTTAAGAGCCAAATTGTCTTCCAACATCATCCCTTCATTTAAAAAATATTCATTGTCTTTTTCACTCGAGATCCTGTTTGGAAGCTGAGACTAACTATAGTAAGAGGCAAAATACATAAAAATCTCTGCTTTCAGGAACTTTAATAGGAGGTTTTTAGATATTTTTAATGTGATCAGAATTATTAAACAATCAGTAAACAGTTTGCAAATATTCAGCATTTTATGAATAAACAACACTAATAAATGTTTTCCTATATTTATATGTTTTCCAAAGCATTAAGTATCATGTTTTCATTTCAGTAGTCATGGAATATTAATAAAAATTTATCAATTTGAAAAGTTTATGAAATTTTATTAGCTCACTTGAATTTATTTATAGTTGACAGTGAATTCTAATCATGTTAAGACTATGAGAAGTTCAAAAATAATGATTGCTTAAAATAAATAACTTTATGATACCATTGGAATATTACATTTTTCTTCATGATTTGTTCTTGATCTTTTTCAGTCTGTTTGTGCCACTTTACATTTGTGTATAGACCGAGGCAAAGTAAACAATACTAATACTCAAAGGCTGAAACGTGTATCTAGGCTAAGGCTGCAGTTGATTGACATGCTTCATCTGCACGAGGCCTTGGGTTCAATTTTCAGCATGAAGTGGAATAAAATAGCATAACTCTGGGGAACATTTTCTGTTGTTACTTTTTCATAGCTTACCAAAATCAACTTGGATGCACAGAAGGTGGAACAGATGTTGAGAGATGAATTAGCTGATAGTGTGAGCAAGGCAGTAAGTGATGCTGATAGACAACGGATGCTAGAATTAGAGAAGAGTGAAGTGGAACTCAAAGTTGAAGTGTCAAAGTAAGTGCTCAAAAACATTTCATGATTTGTTGGTCTTTAAGAGACTTAATTACAAATGCATAGGGTAATATCGATACTCATTTGTTTGTGTAAGAAGAGGATTAGTGATACTAAGGTTAATTTTTACCTAGGTGACATTATGATACTGAAGAGGAAATGATCTCTCAAAATTTGCATTTTTTTTTCAGACTATAGGAATAGAATTATAGAAAGCAGTAACTTTGGAATACAAACTGTAGGGTAGACATCATTCTCATATTTGCTGTTTTTCAAGAAAGGTAGGATTGGAAGAGCAATGGTTATTTAAGTGTTAAGTTTCTTCACTTTAAAAAGACAGTAATTAGGGCTGGAGAGATGAGTCAGTGGTTAAGAGGGGCACTGATTGCTCTTGCAGAGGACCCAGGTTCAATTCCCAGCATCCACATGGTGGCTAACAACCGTCTGTCACTCCAGTTCCAGGGGATCCAATGTTCTCTTCTGACCTCTGCAGGCATTGCATGACATGTGTATACTTACATACATGCAGGCCATGCAGTCATACACATAAAATAAAAATAATAAATAACATTTTAAAAAATTAATTGTACCTTTTCTCTAAGATTGCTCTAAGAATATAATAAATTCCTATTTTGATGTACTTAGATCATAGGTACTTGCTCTGTACTAGGCAATATGCAAAGCATTAAATATGTATTAATCCCTAGACTTACACTTAACTGAGGTAAGAAATAGCCTCAGGTACTTTAGAATGCAAAATATGTGTGCCAGGTAGATGCTACGTACTCAATTTTGTTTCTTCAGTAGAAGAGTATAAGAAGCATTGAGTTAATATGTCATACACAAGTAATTAGTAAAATAGTATTTTTGTGGCTTACTCATAAAGTTATGGCCATTCCTTTAGAGCCTTGAGAATCCTCTTGGGAATATCAGTCATTTCCACTCCCTTTCCACTATTGACACCTCTCTCTCTCTCTCTCTCTCTC